TTTGTTATGGTTAAAATTTCTTGTAAGCATTTTGAAGTATACCACTCGTCAAATATTCTAAAAATATATGATACAGACCCTCGTTGATTCTGAGGCTATTTTTGGTGTGTTGCACGAGACTTCTGGACCAACTTAATAAATTAAAAGACCTATCCACTGTGCCTGGTCTCCTTGCTCCTTCCCTTACCCTAAAAGATTTGCCACTGACTGGCAATTACTTACCAGTGTGTTTACCAAGCTGCGCCAACGTCTGACGCGAGGTTTTCCCAGATTGCGAACCATCTGCTCCATATCCAACTGATCTTCCAGATGTTGCTCCCCCTTCGCTAGCCCCGCTCATCAAATGCAATCGTCTTTCTCGAAGATTTATAGCTTCTTTTTCATACATCAATACTTCCTTGTTCTTCCCATCTACTGCCCATCAACTGCCTACAATTCGGGGTGAATACACTGGCTTCGGTAAAGAGGTACTTGTTTCTCAAGAATAATTCTTTTTTCGTTAATAACAACACGGAACAGAATTCAGAGTTACAAACAAGGACATAATCGTAAAACCATTGTTCACATGCTTTTGAATGTGCTTGTTGTCTTAATTTATCCTGTGTAACAGTTCCCCCCCCCCCCCCATCAATTTTTCGAAGAAGTGGATTACCTCGTTACCCGTGTGACCTTTCGTGTTCGCGTCGAACACAGATGCGTAACATTACCAGAAAAAGTCCGATGTCCATGACTGATGGACAAAACCGGTGCGCCTAAGGATCCACACTAAAGCCACACCCACCTCGTGTGAAAAGAAGAGCCTCCAGTGTACTTTAGACAGAATTTCGCCTTCACCTCCCTTATAAGGTCCTCGGTAGGTGAATCTTCAGCCGAACCCGCCGGCGCTGGCAGAGTTCGCTCTGCGTATCTGCACACACTTGTCTGCTACAGTAATCAGAGCCCGCCAATCTTCTCACGATCCACTTAGCTGTTTTCTCAGTCCATCTGTACAGTACATTCGCAGCTATACGTCTCTGTGTAAGAACAAGTGTATCTTCCGTGTCTCAGCAGTTTTTCCGAAAGTCTTTCACTAGAATTCTGTACCATAATGACATCGTGCGAACGATAATTGCCGCTACGGCACATTTCCATGAAAAACCGATGAGAATAAGAATTCTCGACGTTTGCTACGACCATCATTCCTCTTGATACAACTCGCTCTCGTGACTCCAATATGACGTTTCTCCATCAAGGTCTTTATGTTTGTAAACTTTGTATACCGGCAGCGGAAAATCGCATCACCCATCTCTAAAGAGCATTGTTGTCAAAAACACACATCATGCCGTACTTAGCCGTACCAAAAATAGACATGGCTTCTGTCCTCTGCCCGGAAATAAACACGTTCTTTGTCTCAATGTCCATGTCGTCATTGTTAGGCTGCGCTTGAGGTGTTGTTCGTAGCCATTGTGATTTATTTATGTTACTGTTGAATTTGCGACCAATGCTGCATAAATATCGTCAACTTCACAGACTAAAAACACATCGCGCAGACGCAGAAATAAAAATAGAGTTTATAGTCGGTGATGTTTTTTGGTTTGTCACATCACAACTGCGGTAAACGTACTTCTTCTCTTCCTTTCATATAATTATAGGTGCTTATTATGATTCTACAGAGGCAGTCAATTAGGAGCAGTCGTTGAGAATTTTTTATTAAGCCTTGTTCAAGGGTTCAAACAGTGTCATGTATTTCCAGTGAAATGACTCATTCTTTATTAAGGCCGTTTCACTTTCCTTTAAATCAGATCATTTTAGCTCCAAAAAATTTTAATAGTGCTGATTGACGGGTTCATATCAATAACAACCCACTTCCGATTGGGAAGCATCGAAATTGGCAGGTTTTTATTTGTTATTGTTCTTGTTTTATATTCTTTTTGCCATTTCCAAGAATTATAGCACAAAATTTTCTGGTAGTAAAAGATTGTACATAATCAAACTATTACTGATTTACTACAGATTGAGCTCGACTTATTCAATAATATCGTTGTAAATGTCAATTTTCCCAAATTATCGAGTTTATTCTGCTCTAATCAGTTTTTTTCCTTTTCACAAGGTAGGAAGAATATTGTGTTTTTAATGAAATAAATGTTTCTGCTTGATTCACATGAGAAATCATAAGCTCTTCATGAAATTATGAGTTGAAAAAAGTTTCCAAACAAATATATTGTTGAGAAATTCGCTGAATCTTTTTGTTGACACAAGGGAACGCCTTCTTTTATGGTCATTTACACTTTCCCATATTGTTACATATAGAATCTTCCAACCACACCCATCATGAGATGTTTTCGTCTTCAACCCCATTCCAATCGCCAAACTATTTCTGAGCGTAAGTTCACACTGTACCCACACATTATGGCGAATGTTCTGCGACGTTAGCCGTTGGTCGTTCGTTATGAGAGAACAATGCATAACGCTTCGCATAGTTCGTTTGTTTGCTGCGTGTTATCATTGACATTTTCTACATTGCTGCTTTTATTCTATATAAATTATGGAAGCACGTGGAGCGAAGCAATTCAGCTGGACGGCTGAATTCCTCTACGCTTCTTTCTTTTTACATTATGAGTCAATAATTCTGTTTCAAAGCTTTAAAACTTCGGTAGAAAATAAATATTGTCCCTGCATAATAAATAGTTTGAAAAAATCAGTAAATTGTATTTCCTCGGGAAGATAAAATTGCACATATTGAACCCAAAATTCCACTCGACATTTTACCGTACTCTTTCCTTTTCAATGTCTCATCTATCATTGGCAAAGACAACCACTCACGACCCCATCAGTTTCTGTTGATACCGCCCGAATATGTACTTGCCAATCATTTCACCCCTCCCTCGTCCATTCCCGCTCTCTTTTCTCTTATTTTTTGGAATATTCGCAAAACTTACAGATCCCATTACGTATCGTCCGAAGAAGATGTGCCAAATTTAGAAGATTTTCTTGCGTTAATGCGGTCCTTGAACAAGAAGTTCAACATCTGCAACTTCAAGTGTACTGCTTCGTAATCACTAAATCGTCTGGTTGTCAAACTTGGGCAACTTAACTCTAAATATTTTTCTGGGAAGGCGAACAGTCATCATCTCCTGCTTTGTATTCCTCGAACATATTTAAGGTATAAATATGGACGATTTTAGTATTCAGCCCCTTTTCATAATTTTTGAAACACTGTTCAGCTTCTACTGTTCTTTCTCTGCATTTCATAAGTTGGAAATTGATTATGGGAACCCATATCTGTCGATAATATATAGTCGAGACTGAGGTGAATGCAGTCAGAATCACTTAATTTTCCAAAAATTGATCCTGATAAGTTGTCCACTGCTCAACATATAAATCAACATTAGGATACGAGCTAATATCGCTAACATCTCTAGAATTCTACGGTGTGAATTTACGATCAGAAATACATATTTGAGACGTCCTTCTCCTTCGAAGTGCACAATAAATTTTTTCTCTGTGAAACAAACTTGATTTCCTTGACTGTGTAAAACTCGTGCAACCGCTTCTTTATCACGTGGACGTTGTCCTTTGTTGTTTGATGTATTTCAGTACAAATTGAAAAGACGCTCCATGTCTTTGGCCAATACGTTCGCCCAAATTGTCGGCCCTCTAAGTTGGGCAAATTGGTGTGCAACTCTTTCATTCGCTAGTACAAATAAATGACAACATTTTGTATATTTATTTATTTATTTATTTATTTTACTGCATAGGGAGCTGCTATTTAGCTAAAAAAATTTTATCGTGAGGAGCTGTAAATCTCCACGTATCGATTGTTCAAATTTCTGTCAGTAAAAGTGACAAGTAAACTGAAATGCTCGGCAAATGATACCACGCATCTTGCAGAAATTGGTCCATAAACCTTCTACAAGCCGTCAAAAAATGGCCGAATTCGAATTGAAAGCCAACCCATTACTTTGTATTGCCTCAGTGCTATCTCAGTCTAGTGGCTTCGAACTTTATAAAGATTAGTTTTAGAATGTAGGGTTAGGAAGGCAATACTCATCATAGAGGAACTCCGAAATGCCAAAATTTAAACTCGTCATAACACACTAAGTACTGGAACTGGACGAATTCTAGGATAATTGCAGTTTTCCCTCTGCCTTTATTGTCCTCAGGTTTTTCTTGAGACCGTCAACTTTCTATTGAGTGCATGCTATTTGTTTGCAACTCAAGAAATGCATTTACCATCACTCAAAGTTCCCCATCTCTCTGCTACTTTTTGTTATGTTCTTTTTCTCTTCGCCACATCCTGTTGTTTTTCCTCTTGATTAGCTTGGACAGCGGAAGTCAAGCAAGACATCCGATTGTTCCATGATGTGAGTTTTTGTTGCGGCGCGGGTTTTCGCATCTTTTAGGCTCTGGATTGGCCGTTTTAAGAAATAATGTGTTAATGCGATTGTTCCTAGTCATTGGATCATGTCTTATGGACTGAGACAAATTTGCAGCAAAGTTAGTTCACCTTGATTTTTTGAAAATGAAAAGAAATTTGGATGAATGTGACGAAGAAGAAACTTCAGAAGAATTTACAGTATCCACCTATTCTCAATCTATGCAAAAATAGATAGAGTGGTAACCACTGATTTTATGTTCCTTGTTCTCGGTCTTTTATACCGTAGGTTTGTACATAGACCTTTGAACGATAATGCGCAGGTCATGGGCAGTAAAAATATAAATAAATGAAATGTTTGAGTAAATAGTTAAATAAGTAATCTAACAGATCTACACCATTGATCTACACACTGATGCAAAAAGAAGTGCAAAGGTCTGTATAAAATAGTAATTTAAATACAACTCCCCCCATGCAACACCGTACCTCACTCAAGATTTCCTTGCTTACCACTTCCTCCTCTGTGCTTCTCATAGTGTGATCGCTTTTCTGTTTTCACTTTTTCTCGATATGTTTTTCTCGTTGTTTTCCGTTCTTGTAACGTTTTTATGGTCGATTGACTGATTCCAACAGCCTCTGTTTCCAGATGAAGTGCCCGCTATCAAGCAGTCCTACTGCGGCCGAGTTTCTTGAAGCCACAAAGAAACTTTACGTAAAGACAGATGCTCTGATACAACGCAAACTAGGTGAATTTTTGAAAGTTATTGAAATACAAGAGATATTCAAGATTTGGATGTTGAATTGCTAACCTGTCTTTGATTAGCAAATGGCGGTCAGCTCTATAGAGATTTCTTTGACAATATAAGAAACTAGAAAATAATGATGCAAGGTTTTGAGCTTGTCCCTAAGTCACTTTATGCAAAACTCAAGTAATCCCATCATAACTTTACAATGATGTCCGGCTGTACTACCAGTACCGTAACCGGTGGTCGTACACTAAAACCTTGTTCCAAAATCGAGACCCACCCGGAAGTTCTTGCACTTGTGGTGCAAACTTCAAAATGCTGTGTCTCGAGAGATAAAGTATTATAATATCATCTACCAATGCACTGTGGTTTTCCCGTAAAGTCTGAAGTTACATAAATATGTAAAGTGAGCTGTAGAGTAATTTTGTACCCTTTTCAGAACCTGGACAGCCACGCCTCTTCCGCTCGACTGACGACGAAGACGAAGCATGTTACAACGTACATTTTATTTTTGTATTTACATTATCGGAAAAATTTGAGAACTGGCTATTTAGTTGCCATCACCCTCACCTTCTGCCATTTCCTATCGCATTCCTTCGAAAAGATCTGCCTTTCGAGTTGTACGTTTGCCATCGACTCAGAGTGCTCAGCTGCAACTTCGACGCCAATCTTCAAGGTGAGATTTGTAAAGACTACAAAGCTTTGATCTGTATAGTCAAAGTCATTCAAGATTAGTCCACTTGCATACTGATCTCATTAACTCATGTACCAAAAAACAAATTACAGAGTAAGGAAGTAAGTTATGTCTCTCAAAACTCATAAGCTTAAAGACCACTAACGATGCATATAGTTTTTTCAACTTAATCCATATTGGATATTTTGTTTTCTGTTGTAATAACTACGTTTGCTAGGTGTGTCATTGAATTCAGCTGACATATTCGATGGATAAATAAGTGAAATAAATAAATACCTACATAAATAAACAAATAAATACTTCCTCACCTATCTTATAACCAGTGCTTCACCTCTGCTTCGCAGAGGTTCGCACTGGCATCGAGAGCCGTGGTAAACTCACTTTCTGAGAGCTTGTCTCTCAAACATTGTTCGATTTATTGCAACGTGACCCGCAGTTAAAAATGAACCATACTCGCTATCTTAACCTCACATGATGTTTAGTATCGTAAATCATTCTTCACTGTAATTTCGTAACGGACAAACTCCACACAACTTCAGATTAAGCCGCTTATTATAAGTCATGATAGCAACTTTTTCAGTCCACCTCCATTACAACCACGAAGCACATCACTCCACTATCCATCAATAAAAGAGCCATCTTATAAACCTCAACCGAAGCCGAGGCTCAGCCTGATGGTAGGCAATCACTTTTTCTACGTTGTGTTTGTACGATTTCAGGACTTTTTGGGCAGGAGAGTGTGAGAAATCATTAATATCACTAAGTGCGGAGGTGCTGAATTTTAGGTTACCCCAAAAATAACGTTTTCTAAATAGATTGAACTGTTTTTGTTTTCCTAGGAGACTTAGAGTATAATTCGATAGAGCGAAGCACGCTCTACAAAAAGGCCATCGAAGTTCCGCCTAATCGTTCATGCAGACTTTGGAGCCAAAATCGAAAAATTATCACTTGAAAATTGGATTTAGCGAGAAAAATTCCTACGAACCTCCAGCTTGGTCAATCTATAGTAGACACATAGTATTACTCAGATATGCATTCACTGGATCTTTGGCGCTTAAAAAGCAACAAAAAGGTCCAAAAATCAAACTCCGCCCTCCTTCCCTCCCACATATGTCGTTGTATACTACAAGCCTTAGTAAGTACCTCTATTATTACTTTTGGTAATTAAGAAATATCACGTTTAACATTAAAAAAGCAAAAAAGTGACCTTTTCGCATTTTCGGGCCATCTTGATTTCTCAATTTTGAGCCACGGAAAAAATGCACCAAATACATTTTTGAGTACTACTACGTGTCTACTATATAATGACCAAATGTCTGTGGGAATTTTGTGAGAGGAGATCCGACTCCTAAAGTAGCTAAAAATTCTGTTTTTTGGCTTCATTTCACTAGCTTAAGAATTAGGTGGATTTTTGGTGGGCATTTTATAGAGCTTGCTTTGCTCTATCATATGGTATGCTAGATCTGCTGGTGAGACAAAACAGCTTAATTTATTTGGAAAAGGAGTTTACTTTTGGGACAACATAATATTCTATCTTCTTATAAAATAGACAGAAAAATAATTGAATTGAAGTTGCACCTGATGGCTGTGACGAAGGCTAGGTCTTGCCGCAAAAAGCTTACGCATGGCCGCGTCATTGAAAGATACATTGATTCAAATGTAAGAATGAGGAGGCAGAGTGAAAGCACATTGTGTTTGAACATTCACTGTTGCTGATAACATGACTATTTGCAGAGGTCGATGCTGGAACTTTCTATGGAAGAGCCCGAACGACCGCAGCCGAAGCCTCGACGAAAGACGCTGAAAAGTGTTTGTGAAACAGTGAAACACGCTGAAGCGCATCCCATCTCCATCGAGACTGTTCGCAACTCCCCTCTCAATTATAGAAGAAAAATTAGTAAGTAAATTATTCCTTATCTAGAAAGCAGCAATGAACTGAAGGATATATCATAGATCTTACATGATTTGGCTGTTTTAGCCAAATCCTCACCAAATCTTTCCGCTCCATCCGTAGCTGCCTTGAAGCGACGAGTCCATTCGTTACGAGCTGCCACTCCGGTTCCACAAACGGAGGTAAGATCCAAATCAATCGGTGATTTTGTCATTATCTCAGAAAGATGCCGTAGATTGCTAAGACTTTGGTGATATCTAGTCTCTTGGGCCAGTTTGCTGTTTCTTTTTTTTGCGAAAAACATGCGACAAAGGCACTAGCTTTGCATCTAGAATGGCTTTGTGCTAGCTTCATAGCCTGTATAAATTTGTCTAAACCTAGCATGCTAAATCTCCATGATCAGCTCTTGATTATCATAGCACTTTATCGACGCTCGCGCCGTAGTGGAATGATTGACTGCACTAAAATCCCGCGGCTTTCAAACTGCAGAGAATTATGTGCAACATTCCTTTCTTTTTTTCACAGTCCGTTCCACTCATAAGCATAATAAACAACAGCAGCACGGAGAAGCAATCAGAGCACAGTCCTCAGTTCCTTTTTTGGTATTACATTGTCGTTATCATCGTCGCTACTTGATCCTCTTTATCAACCTGTTTTTCAATCAATTATTAATGAACTTGAATTCTAGAATGAGAAAAAAATTAGGCTGGGATTGCTCAGCTTTCTAGGTGGAAGTGCAGTACACCTTAAAATCTCTGACGCCCTTATTTTTGGCTAATTATTCAGGATTTTTTATTCGATATCAAAGAGTTGGGTAAATCTACAAACCGAAACACTAAGCTTTTTCACTTCTCGGAGTTGAGCTACTCTTATATCTGCAAGTGGAAAACCTCGTATTTGGATATAAATGCATCACGTATGGCATCATCAGTCAATAATCTACACTTGCATTTGAAGACTAATCCAACCAGTTATTCCCAGAATCAAAAGCTTTTTTTGCAGGAACCGAATGTGATGTTTCCCGTAATGGACGAATCTGAACGTGATTTTCTTCGAGCTGCTGTTCGACTAACCTATTCGACCGATGACGAGGACAGGTATGCAATTAACTTAACTACAGAAGAGCGATCGCTAGAGAATTGAACCATGGCAAACCCTATTTTAGTGACTCAACCCCATCACCGTCTTTTGGTCACGCATCCTATGCCTACAATCCTGGCATGGGCCGATATATGGAGAAATGTTCTCCTCGGTCGCCGACCACCGACAGCGGCAGACCAAACAGCGACGATGAGGACAGGAGGTAATGCTGAATCTCTAGTTAATTGAAGTCAGCTGCTATACGAAACTTTCTTCAGGACGCACCCCTGCTCGACAAAATCCTTGGACGATGGCTTCTTCGATTCGAGTTTCCAGAAAAAAGATGAAGATACTACATCGGAGGCGCTAACGTCTGTTTCCAATTTACAGAAAGTCAACGACAACATTCCAGAAGAAGGTTAGTAAAAAACGATGACAAGCTGAAAACCATTGATCTGAAACACTGTAATCTCCAGAAACTCGTGACAGTCACATCAGTATTCTCGAGAAGAACGCTCGCGTAATGAGGTGGATTCGTGGATGCGCAGTGGCACCAGTAACTCCCTAATCGACTACTGGTCTCCCATTTTCCAACGAAGATTTCGTAGCACTCAATGATTTTGAAAACAGGAGATAGTATGTACAGATTACCGCTGTAAATAGATTTGTCGGTGATATATGTTCGAGGTTATGCGCTAAGTTCTAAACCTTTTATGTTTAATTTCTGTTTGCTAGATCTGTAGAATGTGCTTGATGAATGAAGTGATAAATGAATTCTGCATGCTCGCAGATCTTCGTCAATTCTCGGAATTGCGACAATCATAACCATCTAAACAAGGCGAATCATTGATCTTTCGGTAGAAATTTTTGTTTCAGTAATACAGTTATTTACGTTTGTAGTATTGTTCAGCTTCGGCTGCTCACCAATATTGGCATCAATATCTAGACTGAGTGAGCTGTAGGCTAGGATACTGCTGACAATTTATTTACGGCTCAAGACTCACTTTAAAGGAGGGCGTGCAGGAGTTCCTAGCACCCTACTTAGCACCAGCATTTGCACCTAGCAGGAGGGTTTTAGCAATTCCGAGCTCAGAGGCGGCCCCGCTTTTTGCTCCATCCTGGTCTCATTGTGAGATGTGCAAGCAATGTAAACATAAGCTCAGATATTGAGGTGATATGTGTGAAAAAAAGGTACCGTTTCGTTGAATCATTTTGAAATATGTATACTTAGCGGTTAAGATACATGACTGTACATACGGTGTCAGCAACGCTATTATACACAGTCAATAAGCTTGTGAAAAACCACCAAAATCTGCGACCAATGCTTTTTGGAACGCTCAAGTTTCACAATTTTTTTGGATTTTTATATCAGTTCTCCGAAAGAATTCAAGTAACGACTCGATAGAGCGAACCTCAGAGGATAACACCAATAAATCGTCGCAATCTGATACTTCCAAGATGGTATTATAAATGAACGCTAGTTTTGCAAAACGAATGAGAGTTTATGGAACCGAAGTATCCAATTTTGAATTTCGCGGGTACAGCCTGGGACGCTTTCGAAAATATGAATTATGATGATTTTAGCCCCGAAGACTCCACGAAGTGGAAACAAAAATCACCCGTTAGCATACTTTCGATAGTCTAGAGACAGGGCGTTATAAGTGAAGATTGTTTGAACATTTGACGTGTCATAAAGAGTGAAGGTTGTCTAAAGAAGATTAGAGAAGAGAAAATGACGTAAAACAGATATAAAAAGCAAAAGAAACTGCTGAAAACCGGGTAGAATCGCTGCAGTGATGTTTGAAGTCTCATTTGGCGGCTTTTCAAAGTGCAAGTTTTCGCTCCCGGACCAGTAATTCACAACACGGAGGAAAGCAAAAAGGAGCTAATTTCTTTTTTGTGATTGTTTCAAAAAAAAACATGTTTCGGAAGGAGTGGTTATCAAGAAGAAGATATACAAGAAAGAAATTAGTTATGAAACCGCAAATTTGTGTTTTAGTAAGAAAAGAACGTCGAAGCCAAATTTAATTTTTGACGCGTCCTTTGAATTTTTACCCCCACATTGATCCTATTTCCTGGGACGTTGTCTAGATTGTTGCGCTTATTGTTCTGAGCAACAATCGCCCAAACTGGAAAAAAATCGCTGCGAAAGCACTGAAAAGAACAAGGTAAAGTAAAACGCTCTTTTTACAATTTTTCGCAAAAAATTCCACCATAATCAAAAAGGTAATGGCTGGGTGGTTGTCTGCATTATGAACAGAAGCAAGATCTATAGAATGCACGAAAAAACCGCGTGAAAAGAGTTAAACTAGAAGAAAATAAGAGATTTTCGAAAAAACGTTTTGGTGAGATTTCTCAATCAAATCAAAAAATGTGGTTCTGGGACATTGTCAGCGTGAAAATAGAGATCGAAAGCTTCAAAGTGATATATAGCTTGCTAAAATTGGATTCGAAGCAGCGAAGAAAAGGGTACCAGAGCAATGCCCCGCGCCCCGCGTTTAAGGCAGCGAGGTAGCGCACAACGTGCGGAGACGCAAACGAATAGCGGTGACAGACCAGAGCCGGCGAGGCATTTGGCTTTAGTCGTAGATCTTCGCGGGGTCTTGACGAAACCCTGCAACATTATATATTATTCTGATCGTCATGACAGGACGATGAGAACTGACAACGTCCCAAGCTTTGGAAATCACTCATTAACGAGATAGATCAGCGTTTTCATGCGCAACTCTCTGCGCAGAAGATTTAAACGCAGTTCCTCGTTTTTATGCAACTCCAAAAGCTTTGCTAAACTTCTAAAACTCGATTTTGATCAAATAGAAGGTTAACCGAGAAATGTTGATTTGAATCCTGGCGAAAATTCCACAGAAACCTTTTTTAACGTAAAAGAGGCTATGAAAACGCAAATTCTCGGTTTCGCTGAGATAATTCAAAGATATTACTCCCTATATTTGCTTCATTAACATTCGTTCCGATATAGTCAGGGTCAGCTTCCGCCGTCTGACTAATAGGTCGTTAGGCGGGTCCCCATTCCACATAATGATGGTCAGCGATCGCCTGATTATGGTAGGCCTGAGCAGGCCTGGTAATTCGGTTCAGTGCCGGGGAAAAAATTTAAAACTCGAGCAGCATGTAAAGGAATAAGCCCTGTCATCAGACCCCGATTAAGGCGCCGGAAGGAAACAAGGCTGGTGGCAGGTTGCTCAGGGCGCCACAAAAACGGCACACCTGCGACGACCCGCCATGGAGACTGCTTCATGCTCTGCACTTACAACGCCAGAACAGTCTCCACAGACGCCGACCTTCACGCTCTTCTCCACGCCGCAGGGCACATCAAGTACCACGTCATCGCCCTGCAGGAAAGAAGTCTAGGAAGCAAGACGTGCGACAGTTGAGCGATGAGACCCTCGTCATTCGTGGTGAGAAAGTTCCGTCGCGGAACGTGGGAGGCGTCGGCTTTGTCGTCCACCCAACGATCGTCCATCTCGTCGATTCGCATGAGATCCTGTCTCTCCGACTGGCCATCCTTCGTCTACACCCTCCACACCAGAAGACCATCAGCATCATCAACTGCTATTCTCCAACATCAGCAGCTGATGATTCGGAATTGGTTGCTTCTTATGAGGATGTAGAGGAGGTCGTCCGCAACGAGAAGTCCTTCTATAAGTTTGTTGTGGGTGACTTTAACGCGAGAATCGGGATGAAACTAGAAGAGGAGTACAGGATCGGGAAATTTGGATTTGGGCTCCGGAACGATAACGGCAACCGTCTCATTGGGATCTTGTCCGCCGCACGCCTGTTTCATGGAAACTCACTTTTCATGAAGAAAGAACAACGACGATGGACATGGGAGTCACCCAATGGAACGACACATGCGGAGATTGACCACATACTCACCAACCGAAGATGGTGTCTACTTGACGTATCGGTAGTGCCATCTTTCTGCAGTGGTTCTGATCATCGCCTCCTACGAGCGAAGGTACGATTCAGTCGAAAGCTGGAAAGGAAGATCTGCCATCGCAGTACACGAAGGAAGGATGTCGTTTACGACGGTCAAAGGTTGGAGGAGCTCTTATTATGTTGTGAGTGGCCCATCGAGGAGGACCCAACGAAGGACTACGAGCTGCTTCTCAAAGGATTGAAAGCCTGTGGGTATTGAGCCTCAACAAGTCGTGCAAGGAACGATCGCATCTCAAGCACCGCCAAGAAATTGCTCGAAAGAAGAAGATCCTTGAGGCTAGATTCGAATGCATCTCACCTCGAGAGGTTGGTGGCAAATACCAACTGCAGAATGGCATTGCAGGAGGATCTACGAAAATACAGGCAAAGGAGGATTTTGGAAGCCGCTGAACAAAGACGAAGTCTGAAAAGATGCCGAAAGGACCTCTGCGACTACCACATACCACTATGAGCGTTATCAAACGAAAATGGGATACCAACAACTTCCCGCCGAGAAATGGAATCGATTGCGAAGAGTTTCTACACCAACTTCTTCCGCTCATCAACATCCGTGCCAGACCCCGCTGTTCCCACTGGAGACATACCACCACGAATTCTCCCTGCTGAAGTACGCGTCGCAATGCAGACCATGAGGACGTCCACAGCTCCAGGACTAGACCGTCTTTTCGTGGACCTGCTGAGAGCTGGAGAACACCGTCTACACGAGATTCTGGCGGCGCACCTAACATCCTATCTCCAAAAGGAAAGGTTTCCCGACCAGTGGAGAACGTCAAGAACCGTTCTTCTCTTCAAGAAGGAAGAACGGGAAGATCTTCGAAACTATCGTCCGATATGCCTGTTGAGCGTGCTGTATAAGCTTTTCACCAAGATCATTCTCACTCGCATCTCAAGGACACTGGATGAAGTCCAACCTCAAAAACAAGCTGGATTTCGCAAGGGATTCAGTTGCATTGATCACATCCAGACGGTTTCGAGGGTCATAGAAGTTTGCCGGGAGTACCGATTACCTCTCATCCTAACATTCGTCGACTACGAGAAGGCATTTGACAGCGTCGAGTTCAACGCCATCCTGTCAGCGCTAGTCGATCAAGGAGTGGATCCGTCATATGTGAGGACATTATCCAACTGCTACAAGGACTGCACTACAACGCTACAGCTGTTCCATCGCCCCCTGACCGTACCAATAGGGAAGGGGGTCCGACAAGGCGATACCATATCGCCGAAGGTGCTCGGCGGCCTTGCAGTGGGTGATGAAATCACTGGACTGGAATGAGAGAGGTATACGAGTTGATGGGAGATTCCTCTCGAATCTTCGTTTCGCGGACGACATCGTTCTCTTTTCGAGCAGTATCAATGAAGCCAAGACGATGTTAAAGGAATTGAACGAAGTAGGGAAGACGATAGGACTGCGAATCAATCGGAAGAAGACTCAGTTCATGAAGAACGGCCTAATTAAGGATACGGAATTGAAGCTGAAAGGTTCCCCAATTACGGAGACCTCTTCTTACGTGTATCTAGGACGTTCAATGAACATGCAGAACGACTTGAAAGAAGAACTAACAGAAGGCGAAGAGCAGCTTGGGCCGCTTACGGGCCTTTCAAAGAAGCCACCGACCAACTAACGGACCCTGCGCTCCGAGCTCATCTGTTCGATTCAACCGTTCTTCCAGCTTTCTGCTACGCAGCCGAGACGTGGACTGACACTGCTGCCACGTCGAAAGCTCTTCGTACTACCCACAGAGCGATAAAGCGGAGTCTTCTGAAGTTTAACCGACGTACGCAACATCTTGTCGGACTTCGCAGTTTTGATTCAAGAAGTATGTCCCGTCTACG